AGACTGCAAAATGTCCTACATTCAAAACCTTGAAGTGAACGAACCACAAGCACAAAAGTCAGTGAGGTCAGTGAGGCAGGAAATCGTGATATGCCACAGAGAACCTTGAAAGAAAATAACGCATGTTCACACTGCTCTCTTCAATCATTCATACTCATGCAAGTTTCAAAAGCAATACACTTCCTGACTACTGCTTACAGTACACAATACTAGTAACAGATTGGAGGGTTTACACACTCACTAACATGGTTAGAGCGTGCTGCTAAAACCAAGCTCAGACAGGTATTGCAAGATGCCAGATTATTCATTGGAACTAGTACGTAGTACCTAGAACTGATCTGATATAACTTCAAGAGAACGGTATGGTTACAATGCGCTCAATGTTAAATTCAAAGGAGGAAATCCAAGAAACAAAAGTGAAACAAAAATGTCAAGACAAAAGAACATTGCATATAGCCAAGTCTCTGAGAACAAGCAGAGGTACACAGCTACTGTGTGTTATTCTGCTTCTGAGTGGAATCTGGCCCTACGAGACTAAAAGTTACTATCATAAATTCTCATTAAGGCCCTTGACCTCCAACTTGTCACAGCTACCAGCAGTATTTGGATGTAGGAACACAGAAGAGGCTTTCTGTATGTGCCAGTAACAATGTCATCACGAAAATGAACGGGACTCCCAGCACGCTGAGCCCACGCCCACCCAGTAGGGCTCATATCAGTCACTGTGGTGACCAGCTGGTCCATAAGATTAGACCCAGAGTTTCAGGAGCACTGACGATGGTCTCAGTAAAGACATTTCGACATACGTCTTCGTGGCACTGCCATATTCTAAATTAAGACGATAGCGTTTCACATTTCCCTTGTGGTTTTGCTTTGCAAAGAAAATGTTGCAACCTTTGCCCTCTCCCCCTCGCTGATGACACCCAGTGTGTTTCTCTTTTACTTAACTGAAGAGGATAATCATGTTTGAAGTGATTTTTCCATAAGCCTTTCACTCGTTCTACCATCTGTCATTGCAAGTCAGACAAGCTTTTCCTATTTTTCTTTCCATAAAGCAATCCAGTTGTCGTACAACATCTGGCCTGGTAGTGAATATCTTCAGACGCCAAAGAAAATGGAAGTGTTCTGAAGTTGCACATTATTTAAACCCAATGTGCATAAATTAATTGTCCAAAAACAAATACTGGTTCCAAAATACAGCTACAAATTACATAATGTGGTCTTGGCTGAAGGACAATCAGACCCCTTAGGCCCAACTTCATGGTACCCAACAGTCTTGAATGAAAATTGACAAAATATAATGCTGTTAAAAGAGAAACAAACACCTTACTGTACAGTGTTTTTCAGTCATTTAACCCACTATCTTTTCCTTAAACAACCCTGGCTCAAAAGTGTGTTTTCACTTGCAAACTTAGTTCTCAAGATCAAGAGTAGTCCAATACTTTTACAGTATGTGGCTAACTACACAAGCAATTCTCGCACCGCAGTTTAAGTCCTGGTTTAGCACATATTACAGACCAACGAGGATGGGATCCACTGTGGTTTTCATCCCACAATGGGAATTTGACGAAGCGTAACCTCACAGCTTGCGCGTGTCTATGGTAACATTTCACCAGCGGCAGCAGGGTAATGTGCTCAGCGGCACGTGGCCCATTAATTAGTGAGAGGAACCATACAACTCCTCTGTTTCATGCTTCAGTTGCGGCCACACACCTTCACATACACATGCACACACTCTTTCAGACAAGTGCAAGCATGCGTAGACAGATGCATGCAAATCAAAGAAAACTTCCTATGACGCACTGGGTGGACAAGAAGTGAGACATTCCCTTTTCATGATTTTAAGTACGAGTGAGATTTAAGTGGTTATGGTCAGAATGAGGCACGTCTACAGGGAGACAAAAATACCAGGGGTAATTTTTAAGAATCAGTATTGTATTGTGGTAATATCTTATTTTGGAGGTATTGCACAACACGGTTTCAACATTTCAAGTCAAAGACGTACAACATGCATCAAAAGGGGATTCAACTTGACAAATGCAACTACATTAAACTGTGATTGTAATCTATAAGTAGCACCAATTGAATTTAAAAAAACAAAAAACAAAACACTGATTACGGTGTCAATATCTAACACTTAGAGATGTTAAAAAGCTGTGAGAAGAGTGCTAAATGTGTTCGTTAAACAAGGTCTAAAGGAGAAGCTACATTTCTAAAATTTAGGTCGTGGGCTCAACCAATCATAGATACTCAGCAAACCAATGCATTGTTAAAAACACAGCCTCAATCTTTCTGTTTAACTATTATATGACACTAGCACACTGATGGTGGACAGTGATACTGTAACCCTCTGACACAGAAAACACGATGTCAACAACAGCATGTTTGCCCATGTGTTTGCTTCTGTGTGGCTATTACACCATGAACCCGCATTTAAAAGTGACTACTCGGCATTTGATATTATTGTCAAATTCTGTGCTAAGTGAACATAATATGAACGATCAATGGCATTAAATTAACTTTGCAATTAAGTTATTTATGGTCAAAAAACTAATCAAAAACCATAAATTTTAGAATTTAAACATATCATGCAATAAACCAATGGTTCATTTTGCCATATGACCATTAAAAAAAGTTTAACCAAAGAGCATTTTTACATGTGTGCAATATTTTTTACGGAAAAAAAAAAGAGTCAAAAGATCAGAGAAAGGTTAAAAATACACTTAATTTTATGAAACAAATCTCTTTCTTGTCTTATTAACCATTTTGTGAGCCCTCAAACTGCTTGCTGATCATGAACCCGTCAACCGCAGTGGACTATCCACAATAGAAAAGTGCAGTTGCACCTACAGGTTAAAGCGTATTTGATAACTGTAACTCTATCGCATTTTATAAAATCCTCCTCTCCTGCGATATAAACACACAGAAGCTTGATCTGTACTTAACACTCCTCTTAAGGAAAAAAAGTAGGGTGTGATTCTGCCAATGGTGATATTAACCTTTGGAGAGTCAGTCTGACAGGAGCACTTTGTACTCTCAACCAACACTGCGCAATGTAAGAGGTCTGCTCAATCTCAGAGACAGGTGTTGGAAACAAAAGGAGTTGCCCGAGGGGTCCATGCCACATACAAATGACGAGAATTCATCTTTTTATGAAGAGGCAATGAGTATGGCACTTCTGCTGACTGTCACACATCTCAAACAAGCTCTTTTACTTGACTTCTGCCCCAAACAGTCTAAATTTGTGACACATATTATGAATCTCCTCTCGCTCACGCTTTCCCCCCTATCAAAGATTTTAACAACGGAAAACAGGTGGGATTCACCACTTGAGGCCTTTCACTCCTACAGACGAGCCGATTAGGCTCAGGTTCGGGGGCTTTGAGGGGAAGTCGTCCCCTGATGAAGTCCCACGATTTCCTCTCTTGGCCGTGATCTGCTCCCACTCCGCCTCCCTCCCCTCGTCTGACAGATGCAGGTGTGCGACTGTCCTCCTCCAAACCCACTCAAGGAGAGGAAACAGAAGCCAAAGAAGGCTTGACATTTTAAACATATCGTGGGGACCCATAATATTAAGAAGTGGAATGGACACAACTATAAGCCAGAAATCATCTCTGCTTTTTAGTTTGGATTCAGTTTGAATCATTTTGGAGCTGAATTGTGATTTGATGCCACCATACTGTAAAAATCCATTTGAATTTCTGTACGTAACCTTTAAAGGGGCTTCTTCAAACGTAAAGCACCTCGTGTTCAGTCAGTCGCTTAGCAAAAACTGAAAGCTTTGTTTGTTTTTGTATACTGGTTGCCTGACTTGTGTTTCTGTTATTTTCTCTGTGTTGTCAAAATACCATCCACAGGCCATCTCACATGCTTCCTCCACTCAAAAGATACATTATAGGACAACTTACGTCATGCTTGAATTAGACCTGTGGCTATATAAGCAAGGCTGCCCTGATGAACTTTCAGAAACCATCTCTCCTATGTCTGTGCTCCTGTTTCATTGCCCCAAAGCGTGTATACTGTCCAGCAAAAACAAAATACCTAAATAAGGTGGAGTCCTCTAAAAAGACTACATTTTCTGTTTAGTGCGGACCTCTGGTAAGGCATCACTTCTTCCACTGAGGCCCCCGATGTGTCAAAGACTTTCACTGTGCTCCGCTGGGCAGTGCAGACACAGAGCGCCTGTGCCGTGCTTCACAGAGGGGACTGACCGGCTCACAGATCCAGATTAAATAACTCAGAGCCAAAAGTGCTGCTTCTGCTGCTGCTGAAGGTTTGAGAGGAAAGGACCGAAACTGATGAAGAGTGCTTTCACTGTCACTGTGGCTGCTTCACACTGGGCTCACAGTAAGGAGCAGGGGAGTCAGGTGGCTGTGTCCGTACTGCATACGTTTGCAGAGAGAGAAGGGAGTGGTCTCTTTTACACGTACTTCAGTCAGACTATGATGATTTAAAACTGCCAAATTTGAGGAAAGACAAAACAAGGTATACACAAAAGGAATAAAACTGAAGATGATGTGGATCTCAGCAGGAAGACTTGAACTTTGAGTACCAGGAGTACAATGAATGATTATTATCCTAAACAGGTAAAACCTTCTATCCACTGGTAGTGTTGCAAAACCTTTCAGATACCTAGAACTACACTTTGGTGTTAGACAGGCTAACTCTGGATCAACAACATAGTTGAAACACCAGTCATGATCTCAACAATGCTGGGATGGTGAAGCATCCACAGGTGATCTCAAGTAGTTCACACCTCAATTATACAGGCTTTATTTTTAGAAAATGGGATAAAAAATAATGTGTATCACATCAGAAAGACTATTTAAAACAAAACGGATGTGAGAGTTGTTACTTCTAATGAGCAATATTTCCAAATGTAAACGTTTCCAGGAAGTGTTTTTTTGTCTGAAATCACAGAATGCTTCTAAATTTGGGGAAGTTATGAAAATTTGAGAGGATTAAGAATCACAAACAGGTGTCTTTAAATCCACACTTACCTTGTAGACCTTTCCAAACGCGCCGTCGCCCAGGTCCCCAATAATTTCCCATATGTCGTTAGGGTTGATGTCCCGGTGGACGTGCTCGTACTGCTTGACTTTCTTTTTTATTTCAATAGTGGGAAGACGCAGAATCTTGCTGAATCTTGCGAGTGCCATTGTTTACAACGCAACAACATTAAAAAAAATAATAATAATAAAAGGAATAAAAAAAGTAACAAGTATGAAAAGGGCTCTACGCACAGAGCATCACGCAGAGACGCGCACCCCGTCAACAACACTTATCCACCAATTTACCGCTTTATCTTCACTGTCTGCTTCGTAGAGAAAAGAAAAAGAGATCTGAGCTACTTAAGGAACTTATTCTACTCCGTCCATTTCAGCCCTGAGAGCTCTGCAGTCTTAATCCCATTCACAAACTGCAGTAGTGCTGGACGCGCGGTGACCACCTGCCGCTGGAAACACGATGGAGTAGCCTGTCTGCCTGTCTGCCTGTCTGCCTGCCTGCCAGGGCAACTTGTTGCTTCAAACTGTGCGAAAACGCCCCACCTCGTTACTCAATAACCCTCCCACTGCCGTCATGGAAATGTAGTTTCTTTGAAAGGAAGAGCCGTCGTCACAGTTGTGCTGATGAGGTTTAAAGGACTTCACGTCCGGGTGGGTGCTGGGCGGGTCCTCTGGCGGCTCCAGCAGCTGTGCCATCAACACAACTGCTCAACTTCTATTGGAGCTCTTTGGAAGGCAGGTACATTTATTGTGGCCTAAGTTTGTTGTTCTTTTACACCCCAGTGTATTACAACGTCGAATGCTATTGGTTATAAGTTTTTTTTTTTTTTGTATTACAGAATAAAATGAGTGAGAGTCAGACTTTGGATGACACCTAATTACAGTTTGGTTTACAGAAAATGTTAAATGTAGTTTTAAATCATAATTTGCACTGTTCTTTTTATTCTCTCTATTTATTTTTTACTTTTTATTTTTTTTATTTAAATGAACATGCAGGCTCAAATCACTTGTTCTTCCCCTGTAGCCTACATGCAGCGCTATGGCGCCCTCTAGTGGCAAACTCAAGTCAGTGAACGTGTACCTGTTGAGCACGTGGGAAAAGACACTGAGACATTGAGACAAAACAGTCAGAGGATCAACTGCAGATGATGGACATATTATTAGTGCTAGAACGATCAAGCACAAATGCAAGACAACTTTTTCAAACAACTTCTTCCTGTAAATCCCTAAAGGACCTGCAGTAAAGAGACAAGCATGCAAGTCCATACAAGCCCACAGAGATTTCTGCTAATCTCTACACACTAATGACTTGTCACCATTGTATATGTTTGCTTTGCACAGTTCCTAACATGTTTATACTTGATGCACTTTGTCTTCCTCCCTTTGGTGCCTGTTAACTTTAAGTCATTTTGATCCATTCACACAATAATCAATGGTTGGTGACGATGATTTAGAAATATACAGAAATGGCAGTAGGCCTAACAATAGACCTTTTGTCACAGAAGAAGACATTTTGACATTTCACAGTAAGAAAAGCACAGAAGTAAATAAGGAAATTTAAAGATGTCTGAATTGAATTGAACTGCTTCCGGTTCTTGTATTGTACAAGCTGGCTCAATGTCACACTGTCTCGACTTACTGGGGCGCTTGAATCCATCAGAGGCCTAATTAATGTTATTACTAAGACCTCTGCTTTCCCTGCTATGACAAGTCAAAATGTCTGTTGAGAAAAAGGTCTTTCTGTATTTCACATTTTGCTTGAACCAGCTGTGTGAACTCACTAACCCTAAATTACTGCATTTCATAATATTGGTGGCATAATTAAAACAAATAAATAACATGTTATAGAATAGAATTTAAAAAATAATATATATATGTATAGTGTCTTTTCATTTTCTTGATGCTTTAATATATTTTTCTGTTTTGTTCTGTGCACTAGATAGAGCATAAATCTTGAAGTACACTGATTTTATTGGCAGAGTGAGGAGTAATTTCAATAAGACTGGACAATATTGCAGTGCATGAACTGTAGCTGTGATAACCCTGATTGACAGTAATTTTTTTTAACCCATTGTCATGTTAAATGAGAGTAACAAAAAGCATTTTAATAAAGTTTATTATATGAAATGGTTCCTCAATCAGATTCCATAAGAAAGATGTGATAACTAGTGGCAATAAAACCAAATTATAGTCAGGCAACAGATGATTAAAGTACATTTTTAGGAACGATACCATAGATACCCTACATAACTTCAGTCAGTCTTGTGACTTTCAATCATCACTTGAATAATGTACACAGAAGGACTATTGTTGCTGTCTCTTCACTCTCCTTAAGCAGACATATTGTCATTTCAGGATCCAGTATGTCAGCGCTCCAGTGCAGCACAGTCATGGATCTTGAACGCCAAGTCCTGTTAAAAAAAAATAAAAAATAAAAAAGGTGAAATAGCCGTGTTTGGTATGCATGTGCAATTGAATAAGATTTTCATTCAGGATTCACATTGTAATCAACTAATCAATTAAATCTATCATTATTTGGAGTCTATAATTAGAGCTCAAACCTTTTCTGTTACTGAAGCTGAACTGAAATGACCGTAAGTGAATTACCTCTAACCCTTTGTCGAGACATTGTAGCCTGGTCTGCACAGACAGGTCATTTCAGTCTGTCATAGGAGACCAGCTGCAAACCCAGATGTGTCTGGCTCAGTTCAGGTGAAAACATCCACTGAGCACTTAACATTTTTCATAATCTGCATCATAAACCCTGTTTAATCCTGTGAAATGACCCACTGAGTGACCCATTAACCAGCAGAGCAGTCAGTCTGAATGCATCTCATCAGTATTAGTCTGTTTTCCCTTTCCTGTCTCATGTTGGGCTGCTGTGACTCAGACTCCCACTCAGCGGATATACAGCTGGTAGTTCTTTAAAATTTAACATCCATAATGGAAAGTTAGTTGTAAAATCCATGTACAGTAGACCTAATCAACTTCAGTGCTGGATTACAGCCATATTTTATTATTATTATTATTATTATTATTATTATTATTATTATAAACTGTTATCACCTCTTGTAAGGTTTCAGTTAAATACCTGGGAAATGACCACAATGACTGAAAAGACAACGGTCTATTCTATAAATACATAAAGTGGATTAGATGGTCATATATCATGCAACTTTTCAAAGATTAGCTGTTTGCAAAATCTCTACATAGTGGTCCTGTAGTGTCTTACAGTACAACTTTTGCTAACACTGCTACTACTACTACAATTTTTTACCTTCCCTATTCACAGAGGAAAATGTCACTTTTAAAAAAAATGCACATTTAATGCAACATAATGTACAAAACAGTCTTTCTTTGCAAACTGATTTAAGGTGCAAGTATTTTTCCATAAATTCAACTTTAAGATATTGCTATACTTTCCCATTCACAAATGCGGCAATGCATATGAGGTCTGAAACTTCTGCAGTCACTGCAATAAGAGTCCCAGTGACAAAAATAAATCTCTTTCTACCTTAATTGCTTCATGGCACAAATAGATTCACCTTTATGGTACTTTTTGAGTCTCATTGTGTTGAACTTATTTTGACTGTTTGTCTTGTCTTACCCCGTGACATTTCTCTGACATGATGATGAAGAGCTGTCTCAGAGTGACACCCAGCTTCCTCACTTCTCTGGTGTAAGCACAGCGGCGCTGTCGCAGGCCTTCCACCAGGGAGATGTAGGTCCTCATTTTGTACATCACACAAGAATTCTGACAGCAGGAGTAGCAATTAGTGTCCCTTTGCGTGACTGAGACTTTCAGTCAAAATACCACAGACGTTGGAGTAGAAAAGTTTGGGACAGCCAGAAAACTCAAAGCAGGGAGTGAAAGATAAACACTGACTAAAAGTACTGATCGGGAAACATATTTTATTTTGACGTCACTGAGTAGGGGTTATCTTAAAATTCCTTTTAATTTAATAACAGTCTGATTCACCATAAGTCGTTTTTTGTTACAATCGTGGGGAAATTTAAAGACATACTCACATGAACATCAACGTAGAGATCTGGCATGTGTGCCATACAGAAACTCTGGATGAAAACAAAAATGACAATATGAATCAAAATTCAACATTGACAGGATAATCTAATTACAACAACAACAACAACAACAACAACAACCACAACAACACATTTTATTTAGGGTAAAAAATCTTTCATGGCACTTAAAGGTCACCTTACATTATTACAATACAATCAAAAACAAACAATCAACAACAAAACAGAAAAATATCAATATGATTAATAGTAAAACATGTAATAAACAAACAGGGCAGCAATAATTAAAAATAACTTTTTAAAACTTTACAAAGTTTGTTCGCATTTAGCCTTCTATGTTTTGATTTCATAGGATTCAACTAAATTGATGCATTAATTAATCTGTAATAAATAATAAATGAAGGAATACAAAAACTATAACTTCCAATATGGTCCATAGTCCAATATATTAAAAAAAAGTAGACAAGTCAAAATCAGCATGGCACACAAATAAACCTGACCATTAAAGAATACATACTAAATACAACTTAAGTTAAAACTAATCCATTCAGAGCAAAAATCTATAAGAGTGACAACACAGCTGACTTACAGTTTCATGGTCCCTCTTTAAATGTGCAGCCCACTGTGTGACCTCTCGTGCCATAGTCAGTACCTTGCTGTAGCATGTTGGTGGGTAGAAAGGGGAGCTCAGTACCAGCGGCACCAAACCCAAAGCAAGCAACAAGTGGTTAAAGATCGCCATGACTCACTGACACCTTCTGCACTAACAGAGCCTTTGTTTGTGTCTGTCACACACGCAGCCACGTATGCATGTGGACAGATTTTAACACACCCTCTGTTTACTCCAAAATAATTATGCAACTCCACAGGAAGGACAGGAGACTACCCATTGTGTCAGATAAGACACCGCTCATCTTTATTAAAGAATCAAAGCAGACTTGAGAGGACAGTGGGCTGTGATATTTGTCAAAAATGTTAATACTGAGGAGACATACATTAGTAATTTGCCTTAGGCCAGCTTAGCGAAGTAGAGTGATCTTTTCTTTAAGTAAAAGTAACAATACCACAGTGTAACAATACTCTGCTACAAGCAATGACGAAGTGAAAAAACATAAGCAAGCAAAAACCTATTAACAATAAAGTTAATGTGCAACTGAGAATTGCAAACACTTCTTAACACGTCTCTTTTTGTCATTCATCACAGGTGCTTTATTCTATCATTAGCATGATTCTACAGAATTTGTATTGTTTTCTGTTTCTATTTTAACTGATGCTTTTTAAAAATACCAATGTACTGTGTCAAAAGCACCTAATTTTACCTATGCAATTTTAATAGATGTAGCTATTCATTGAGGTCATGTTTGCCATGGGTCTTAATTATCACACAGTATCACACACTATCAGGGGGTACAGGATAGGAGATAGACACTGGTGATAAATACTCCTCTACCTTAAATATAATACATGAATGTGCATAATAAAATGTATGACTATCATATTAAGGAAGGAGAGAATATTAATAATTTCCAGATTACATTAATTATCTAGGTTTTGAGAAGAAATAAGTTATCATTTTCTTACAATGGGTATTTTTTACAGTAGTTTATTCTTGGGGACCCAAGTCGGTAGTCCCTGTATGTTAAATATGTTGGTAGGATGAGGGTTAAGCAAATAACTATGTGTTTATATAAATTTCTGTAGAATATAAACATATATATATACATATGTATATACACACATATTATCTGCAGTAAAGTAACCCTCAAGTATGAAACATGCCTGTTGAAACGTGTACATTTCAAATAGAAAAGCTTGAATAGCCTGTACCATGATATATGTTTGCTATAATGAACCATAAGTACATTGGGGAGGAGGGTGGTGTTTAACTGCTGCTACTTTGGCTGTAATATTGATCATGGAGGTGAAGTATAAATACATTCTATTCCCATAAGACCCTTCCTGTATTAATATTGGCTGCTTTCATATATGTTGTCTTTTTTATCCACCAGATGGGGCTAATTACACAGAATTAAATACTTGACATCCTCCAGATCCTGAGAAGTTCTGCAATTAATTTGAATTTGAATCTGATTCTAATATAATCAGGACCTTTCCAAAATTGATTCTCTTTAAAGGCAAAAAAAAAAATAAAGATCCTCACTTGCAAAACTAGGACAGCATTGCATCACGCTGAGGCCTCCTGAGTGTCAAGTAGCTTACTCAGTCCCTGTCCAGGTGTGAAACGACACTGTCATCACTCATCTCATCTAAAAGAGGAGCACACTTCCCGACGCTGCCAAACGCCCGATAAGGCATTGGCCTGAATCTGAGTGATGTTCGTCACCTCTCATGGCATGTGTGGAGAGTTGGAGGTCTGTCTCCTCCCTCCGTATGAAGATGGATGGCCCACATTGAGTGAGTCTTGGCATGACAGAGAGGCATAAAGAGGAAGAAAATGTGCAATGTGCGCTGTAAGCATATATCTGGTCCCACAGTCCCTACCACTCAGCCGTTCTCCTCTCGACCTTGGCCTGCTCAATTAACAGGGGACACAGGTGACCGTGGAGTCCTTATAATGGACGGATGTGTTTTACAGTTAGTAGTTAATGGCCACAGAAGTTAATGCATGATGAGAGGTTGGACTGCAGGAATCTGCTCAAAAGACAGCAAATTCCTATGCGGCAAACACATATTCTGGATTTAGAGCTTTTCTTTGCCACACAGTCAGGTGTTTTTCCACTTCTATACCTGCTGGCTGTCCAGTACAACCATGATCCAATGAAGTCAGTGAGAGTTAAGTGACTTGCTCACTGACAGCAGTTGTTGGTGTAAGTGAGGAGGGTGCCATATTTTATTTATTTTATATAAAGTTTAGGCTAACAACTGCGATGAGTAAATTGATATTTCAGGTTTACTACATTATGTCAGTTGTTGCATGCTATTTTAATAACAACTTTATAAGTTTAAGGTCATTATGGTAACAATCCAAACCTTTGTGAGATGATAAGCAAAGTAAATTTGGGCACTGACTCAATATCTCTGCTCACAGGCTGCTCGAATAAAAGAAAATAATCATAAGATCTGGTATATAGTGAACTTTACTATATAAGAATATTATATTGATGCCTAAGGAGATAAAAAACACAGTAAGATAGGTATAGACTCACAATAGAACATCAGAGAGACATTAGTATCCATTATTCTCACTGTATAATGACTATTTCCATATAACTTGAATGGCTATTATGAGACAGCAGCCTCATCTAGTCTATAAAGAGACTGTCCCTTAGCTGGGGGCCATCAGGTTTAAAACAGCATTATCGACAATTTGCCTTGCTGGTGCCTTTAAGGAAGGTAGCAAAGCAGTATGAGCTCTGGGGGGCGCTGTTCTAAAGCTGACCATGACCCCTGACTCTGGTGGGAGCAAGAGAATAAAAACCAATTCCCTGCATACGTCAATAAAGTATTATAAATAGAGTATTATGGGTTAATGCGAATTTTAAAGTGATGCTTGATACAAAAAGATCAGCATTTTTAATAGGCTACCAGACATGCGCATAGGTTCTGTTGGAATAACTGTTTGGCCACTGCGGGCTATTGATAAATGACAATCACGTATTCATTTTAGGCTATAATCCAAAAAAAAGCCCTACAGAGGCTACACAGTGACTCTGCAGTGCTGAACTGACTTTTCAGTAAACTTGTAGCTGTGACAGGGACAATAGTCTCTCTGTAATATTCCCAAAATGTAATATTGCAGTAAATATTGTTTATATATATATTAAATATTTGGTATCTCACTAAAAAATGCCTTAAGGAATATAACTTTTTTGGGGGGATGAGTGAATATTAACGACAGGGAAACCTCAGCCCCACAGCTACAGCAGATCAGCCCGGCCAGCCTATGAAACGTGCCTCTCCAGACGCACGGTGGTGGCCAGCCCCATTAACACGGGCGGCGATGTGGAGGTCAGTCGCTCATCAGTGCAACGCGCCGAGCAGTTTCCCCCCCTTAAACCCCACATCTCTGCTCCATTTGTCCCCTTGTCCTCCAGAGACAGGGGATTTCGCATTGCACTCCGTCGGCGCAAACCCGCAAGTCACGTCTCGCTGTGTGGTTCCTTTTGTTTGTTTTTTTTTTGCGGGTGGCAGGTGTCCCGGTGCGTAGTCGTCCGAACACCGGACAAGTGATGCTTTGAGAGGTGCGCTGTTGCTCCCCCCCGCCCCCTGTCGCTTCACATCTCTGCAGCAAAACCGGGCTGGAAATGGTCCTATGCTCAACTAACCGGCGGAGCTCAGAGGTAAGTGCCCACATCTGCCCTGCATGGATGCGGGGAGGGGGGGTAAAGAGGAGGGGGATACTTTCTATTCAGCGCATGTTTCTGTTCAATTGATCAGATAAGGGCTCCGAGGCACAATGTCCTCTGCGGGGAGCTCAGCACTGCGGCTTCCCGCACTAGTTTTTGAATATTATATTTAACCCCAAGAGGGTTATTCACATATGCCGTGGTGACCTTATCATGCAGTCTGGGAATGACATTCATGAAAAGGGTTTCCCCTCGCGGATTGAATGTTGCCACGATGACTTGAAGTTTGTCTATTTAAGCCTCAAACGCATCTCATCCTAACTCAGGTCAGTCATTCAGTCTCCTTTAAGATATTGTTATGGGACAAGCTGTCATTCCTTGTTAAAAGGATGCAACAGCAAGCCCACATAGTGGAGCTGTGTTATGAATATTGCAGTGCCATAGGAAGAAATTAATGTCATTAAAAACTTCAACTTACTTTTCTGACACGCCAACTTCCTCTAGGACGAGGCTTTTACAGGGATACACACAGCCTACTGACATGCCTACACATTTGGTTAGTTCATATCCAGGCTTACATATTTCATGAGACGGCAGAGTTTTATTTTTTCTGTCAGTTTGTGGAACAAAAGATAGTCATGCAATTTCATGTCCTGAAGAGGGCAGCCTGAGGGATTCCATTTACAGTGCACAACACCAGCAAACTATAAATCAGAAGCCTCCCAATTTTGTTTTCTTAATGGGAAAACGGATCATACCATTCATCACACATGCACTCGTAGACGGCGCTCCACTGGGATGAGTCTGAGATTAAAAATATAAAAATTAAATAATTGATAAATGACAGATGAAGGAAGTAAGGATGGGAATGAAGGAGGGAAAGAAGTAGGAGGGAGACCTGCTTATGTAAAAATAAAGTCACTCCCTCTCCCCTTCACCCGTTCACTAATCAAGTTAATTTCTAATCAGCATTAACATTAATATACCTGCTGTCATGCTATTATTACTGGAGGTCATTTGAGTTTGCCATGTTTTTTTCTTCTTTTAGTAAAAATCTATTATCTGTGTGGATCTTTCCTCTGATCATTAGATGCTGTGTAGGAGCTGTCCATGTCTCATGGCTCTACCTCTCTACTTTTTCCTCCCTCCCTCCCCTTGCCCCTCCTCCCCTCTCTCTGCTGGTGGTGTCATGTTTTCCTGCCTCCCCTCACAGGTTAGACTCTTAGTCAACAGAGGGTCACAGCCACTAACACATCACCCACCCTCCTCCCGGCTGGCAAGAGTCGTCCATCTGCCTGCGTTCATCTAAACAGCAGTGAAGACAGACAGGAAACTTACACTGTAGTGGTACTGCCTGTGTGTGCGTGTGTGTGAGAGAGAGAGTGTGTCAGCGCTTCAGTGCCTTTAGTGTTCCCCCAAGCCCTCTACTGAGTGTGTGTGTGTGTTGGTGTGTGTGTGTGTGCTCAATGATGTGTGGCTGTG